CGGACTGCTTGTTCATTGGTAACACGATCAAGAGTCTCCCACAGCTGAGGTTCCAACTTCTGAGCCAGAAGCAGGTGAAGATCGAGGAGTTGTGTGGAGAGCTGGGCCAGGTTCTTCTTAGCCGCTGTTATTCTCTCCTTGACCAGTCTCAGCGAAGCTTGGCGAAGGATGGCATTTGCCTGCTTCGAGGGAACAGGATTCCTCAGACGNTCTTGAATGAAATTAATTTACCGCGAAAATGTTTACAAATGTAATACGATAAATGATAAAACCAATAATACGCGAAATAAATCAGTAACAAATCGTAAAGTCGGATTTCATAACGCCTAATTAGAAAGATTTATTGAGAAAAAATTGAATAGATTTAAAGAAAATTCAGTCAATATGGCTCAATCAAGTACGAATCAATTAATTTCATTGAAGGATGGGGTCGCTTGTATTCCCATTTTTGAGGGTAAACAGAGCGAATTATATGATTTTATTGTTAATTGTGATGAAGTAAAAGAAACGCTTCCTGACGCGGCAGAAGCAAATATTACAAAATTAATTCAACGTAAATGTCTGAGTCAAACAGTGAAAGACTCATAAAACGGTGTAAAATTCACAAAATTAAATGATTTAATTAACGCATTAAAAGCGAATTACACTCCTACCAAAACTGAATGACAGTTACAAGGAGAATTAGGCTCTATTTTTCAACGCGAAAACGATACAGGAATTACATTCGCGAATAAATTGAGAAAAAAGGGCAAGGAAATCGTTGAACATTTAAAAGTAAATAATCCAAATCACACTGCAGCGCAACTGCAGACGTATAAAAATTCGGTTGATGACAAAATTAAACAATGCTTTTTACAAGGATTAAAATCAGAAATCGATCAACGTATGCTGGATTGCGATAATATGACGACGGCGTATGATAAAGCGACTGCTATTGAACGGAAATTAATCGCGAAAAGTGAATTACGCGGTGATAAGCCGAAAACTAATGAAAATAAAAAATCGGAAAATCATGATACCGAATCCAAAGCAGTTAAATTCGTCAAAAGTAATTCGAATAATAATAAATCAAATTAGAATAAATTCCAAAACGGTGGAAATCATGACAGAAACGGGAATAATTTAAATTTCGCCAGAAAAGGTAATAATCAAAATAATTCGGAAAAGTCTCGAGTAAACACAAGTGACGTTTGTCAAGTTTGTAACAAACAGGGACACTCCGCTAAAATATGCTTTATTTGTTTAAATAACTCTAAAACTAATGAAGTTTGCCAAATCTGTCAGCGCAATAATCACACCGTTAAGACATGTTTCTTGTTGAATCAAAAATCACAAAATAATGGGCCAAAATGCCAATTATGTGATAATTTTGGTCACACTGCTGACAAATGTCGGAGTGGATCCAGCCAAAATAATCAATCAAATTCCTCTAATACCAGTGGAGTCACCGCTATTGTAAGCGCGAGGGACATTCACTTGCCAATTGGGAGAGATTAGATAGGAAAAACTCGGGAAACCAGAACACATCATTTAGCGTCCGGTAACTGTAGTTCGGGAATCGGAGTCGAGCGACGACTCCCAGTAATTTCCGTACATTTTAAAAATAATGATGAGATTCCATTTATTAAAATTGGATTAGGAGAAACTAATAAAGAAATAAAATTGATGCTAGATTCAGGGGCATCACCAAATTTATTAAAAAAACAATATGCACATTCAAATGTTGTAATTTATGAATCGAATATTATTGAATGACATGGAATATTAACATTACCGGTATTGACATTAGGTAGCATAAGCATGGATGTGTTGGGTAAAGTAGCACCCTTCCATGTGGTATCCGATGACATGCCAATCCCCTATACAGGTTTATTAGGATCAAATTATTTCAAAACCGCGGAAGCGAAAATCGATTACGCTAATTTATATTTCAAAATTAATGAGAGAGAATATCCCTTCGAAAATGTAGAAAAAGTAGATAGCGATATTATGCAATTACCAGCTTGTTCTGAAACAGCATTTTTCATTAGAGTAAAAAATAAAGACGTCTCCGAGGGCTACATACCTCGTTTAAAAATTTGTAAGTGTCTGTACGCAGGCGATTTTCTGGTACGTAACGCTCAGGGTCGTGCGTATATGCAAGTTTATAATACCACATACGATGACGTGAAAGTCAAGTTACCCACGTTAGTTGAACGTAAGTGCGAGAAAATACACGAAACCTATGACCAAGAAATTAATGAAAAAAGTGAATTTAATATTGTAAATAAAACAGTTACTCACATGAAAGAAGTAGAAAATAATGAGAGTTTCCAAAAAATTAATGAACTCTTACGATTAGATCATTTGGGAGGTAAGGAAAGATCTCATGTAAATAAATTAATAAACAAATATTCAGATCGTTTTTATATTCCAGGTGAACCCTTAGGTTCTACCAAAATGTATAAACACAGGATACCGACCACTTCGGATATGCCTATTTTTTCTAAACAGTATAGATTATCTCATTCTACAAAATTAGAGGTAGAGAAACAAATTGATGAACAATTCCAATCAGGAATTATTAAAGAATCAGAATCTCCCTATACCAGTTCAGTATGGGTTGTTCCCAAGAAACCCGATTCAAAGGGTAATAAGAGATGGCGAGTAGTCATTGATTTTAGGCAGTTAAACGAAAAAACGATAACTGCTGCCTACCCCCTCCCGAATATCACTGATATTCTTGAACAATTAGAAGGTTCTCTATATTTCTCTGTATTCGACTTGGTATCTGGATACCATCAAATCGAGATGGATCCAAAAGACAGTCATAAAACAGCTTTTTCAATACCTAAAGGTCATTGGGAATTTAACCGAATGCCTTTCGAGTTGAAAAATGCCCCAGCAACATTCAAAAGATTAATGGATACTGTGTTGTCTGGTTTACAAGGTACATCAATGTTTGTATACCTTGACACAATTGTTTTTGCGAAAGATCTAAAAGATCATGAAAATAAAATTTAAGCGTTGATACAACGATTGCGTAAAGCGAATTTACAACTACAACCGGATAAATCCGAATTTTTACGCCCGAAAGTAGGTTATTTAGGCCATGTAATTAGTAAGGAAAGGTTAAAACCTGATCCACCGAAATTAGAAGCTGTAGCTAAATTTCCAGTGCCTAAAAGACAAAAAAATATATGTTCTTTCCTGGGTTTCACATGATATTAGAGACGTTTTATTAAAAAGTTCTCCAAAAGTGCGAAACCCTTGACTAAATTAATTAAAAATGATATAGAATTTAAATGGTCTCAAGATACTCAGAGTGCTTTCGAGACACTGAAAGAAGGGCTATGTGTTCACCCTCGTTAGACAAGAAATACCACAATTTATCTTTACGATAGATAATCAATTCTTTAGAAACAATAATATTGGATTTATTGTCATTTTTATTTTTATCATCAATGTCAGAAAGTTCAGAATCTGAAATAGATTCAGCATTGCTATCAGTTTCATTAGTTGAATCAATTGTTTTAGATAAGGAGGGATCTTCAGAGACGAAATTGTCCATATTCAATGGCTTTTTACGCGTCTCTTTATCATCAGTTCCCTTTATATTATTTAACCCACTCTTTGAGTTTGATACTCTTTTAGGTAGCCTACTTCTTTTTCTTTCAATTTTAATATCAGTATTATCAATTGAATCTGGAATTCCACCAGCATAATTTGAAAAATCTGGAATTTCACCAGCATAATTCGAACAATCTGGAATTTCACCAGCATAATTTGAACAATCTGGAATTTCACCTGCATAATTAGAAGAATCAGTAATTTTACCAGCGTAATTAGAAGAATCTGGAATTTTACCAGCATAATTAGATGAATCTGCATCGCATTTATTTACAATATCTTGAATTTCTTGTAATTCAGGATCAAGAGGTTCTTCAGCCCTCTTCTTTTGTGCACGAGTCGTTACGTTAACTAGTTCGACCGGATTTTGAGATAATACGTCCGCATTCAAATAAATTTTTCCCGGTTTATATTGTACATCGTAATCGTACTCTGCTAATTTTAATCTCCATTTTTAAATTTTTGAATTCGTTCCCTTCGCGGTTCTAAACCAAACTAATAGTTTGTGAACCGTCACTAAAGTGAATTTATGTCCACAGACATAATGTCTAAAATTTTTAACCCCTTGAAGAATCGCTAGATCTTCCCTTTCATACGTATCATATCGCAGTTCCGCTCTCCGTAGAACTCGAGAGAAATAGGCAATAGGTTTATCGTTACCGATCTCTCCCTGAGAAAGAACTGCACCTATGGCAATGCCTGAGGCGTCAGTAGTTATTATAAAGGTTTCGAAAACTCTGGATATTGTAGAATTGGAGTTGTAGGGTAACACTAGCAGTAGATGGACGCTTAAGAAATTTTCGAGCTTTCGAGATCGATAAAAAAATACGTAATATATGTATGGAGCATCGGAAAGGGTCTTTTAGGTTGAAAAATTTATAAGGAATAAGGGAAAAATATTTAAAGCAAAAGGAAATAAAGGAAAATATGATAAAATTAGGGAAAATTGGGATACGGCCCAAACCCCCAATAGATAGACGACAGAGCCAAAAGATGGACGATGAGTTACCAGTAGATGGACGATGGTGAAAAATATTATTTTCATAGAGGTTAGGTGAACGTGTGATGTTTTTTTTTATTGAAACGGAATTGATACATAAAAAAACTGAATCAATCTTCATTGATTGGCTCCGTATCGGATAATTTTTGAATGTGACCTGGATCCAACGAGTCAGCTGGTTTTTATCCGCCTTTTCTCCCTCGTTTTCCAGGTATTTTTTGAGCCTGCTTTTCTTGCTTGATTTTCAATTTCGCTTCTTTGATCAGGAGTTTCATTGCGGCATCTTCTTCTTTCTTTTTCAGCTTCTCCATTCTCAGTCTATCTCGTTCTTCTTTAGCTACAGCTTTCCTCGATTCTTCCTCTTTCTTCTTCATCAGACGTTCCTCTGCTCGCTTTTGGACTTCCAATTCTTTCATCTTTTTATCCTCCAGCTCCTGAGTCCGGCGTTGTCGCCACTCAGCACCTGTTAAGGCATAAGACCTTCTCCTTTTCAATGCTCTCCTTCTTCTTCACTCCACCAGGTTTCGGCCAAGGCAAATTCCTATTCCACTCGTCATTCATATCACCCTTCAGTTTCGATAGTTGACCCTTAACTGATGAGTCGATCCCCTGAGCTGTCGAAGGAACAGTTTTGGTGAGATCTTTTGTGGTTTCTGGAATCCCATCACTAGTTGTTCCACACGTCACGTTGATCCGCTGAGCTACTAACACTTCTGGAACATAAAGAAAAATGTTATAAACTCATGAGCCGGAAGTTTTGAAACATAAATAAGACAGCTAGAGACCTTACCAGATTCAGTAATATTCAATTCTTTAGCGTACTCCATAGATACTTCATGCTCAGTACCTGAATTATTAGCATTTATATCGATACCCTCATCAATATGAGGAATATCTTGGATATTTTTATCATCTTTGGAAGATCTAAGTTCATTATTCTCTACTGGACCAGTAGCATCTTCGATGTCATCACTCAAATTAATGATTTCTCCACAATTAATAAGACTAGATAAACTTTCATCGATCTCTATAATAACATTATCGTCTAGCTTATCAAACCCCTCGAAGGGAATAGTACAGCCATCATCTTTAACATCATTGGAGATAAGAATTTTCGGAAGACTAGAAAATTTACTTGGCTTCACTTGTGTGTGACTGTTCATTACCAACGGAGAACTGGTGGTAAGCACATGCTGATCATTTTCCAAACATGTAAGAGATGAATCTCCTCCTATCTCGACCGTATCATCAATAGCCTGATGACTGGATTTTGAGCAGCTGTGAGGGATAGGGGAAAGTGGATCGTCTCTCTGATTTTCGCCACCAGATTCCTCACCGAGGGGAGAAACATTACGAGAACTTGAACATGGTGATTTTCCACTTAGCAAGGTTGTACCTCCATCAGCTCTATCAGTAGGACCAGTTGAACGTTGAGGATTTGGATGTGGCCCTAATTCTCCAACTCCCAAGGGAGTGTCTCCATCAGTTTCATCACTGAGGTCAAGTCGACTCTGTGGGCTTGAAGGTGGCTGTAATTCTTTATCTGGCGAAGAGTTGTTTCTGGTAGAGATGCACTCTATTCCATTCATGCAAGCTTCCCATATAGGATAATTCGGATCTCTACAGAGTTCACTGATGCTCTTCAGATGACTGAATTCTCGTACTTTCTCTTCGCCCAGAAAGTGACGTAAAAATTTAGCTGTAGAAACCAAATCATTTTGTGTGAGCTGGGGATCGAGCCTGGATGAAGAGGATACCTCAGCTTCTACGGGTTCAGGATTTAATTCGATGCGTCGAGTTGAGATACATTTAGTGTAATCGGGAGCATTCTCGTCGAAGGGATAAAGCCCACACGCTCTGAACCCATTCTTAATCCAATTTTCATCAATTTGATCAAAAGCCTCTTTAAATAATGGAGCAAACGTCATTCTAGAGATTGACTTCTGAGTCTTCTGCTTATAATCCTGAACTACTTTTCTCCACTTGGTCTTCAGGGGCTTGAAGATCGCTACATCACTAGGCTGAATTATGTGGGTTGAGTTTGGGTATAAGCAGTACAGTATAATCTTGTGCTTGACACAAAAATCACTTAATTCCAGCGACATATGTGATTTATGTCCATCGAGGAAATACATCACTGGAAACTCCACTTCGTTTGCTATGCACCAGGGATAAAAGTGATTACAAATAGAAGCTGAAATCATCCATCCTGAGTCGGACCTCCCCACAGGCCAATCGGCAGGAACTGACTCCCCCACCCACTGTGGCATACGTTTATAAGGATAGAGAATCATAGGAGGTAGTGAGACTCCAGCAGCAGAGAACGTACAAAGAACAGTCATCGATTCTTTTTCCTTCCCTGATGAAATTTCATATACATCCTTTTCACCTGTTTCTCCCAGAATTTTTCCACTCTTAGGACAGAATCCAACAGACGTCTCGTCGCCGTTGAACATGCTTCTATGTCTCGTAAGAACGCTGCTCTCACCATTTTCCTTCACGTGACTGACGACTCCTCGAAACCAGTCTGTGAGTTGTGGTTCTGTTAGAGAGGCTCGACCTTTTGACAGAACCTCAGTTTGTTTGATCGTTATTTCTGGTTGTCTTGCCAAAAACAGCTGTAACCATTTATCCCCAGGTCGCTGATCAGTGAATGGATTAGGTCTTGGTACCTCTCTCAGGACCCTCTGCACAGCGTCCTTCACCTCATCTGGATGCATTGGAAACCCGAGACGAGCCTTATGTAAAATCCATTTCACTATTCTACTCTCTTCTTCAGCTGTGAGGACTGTAGAGGGAACTTTTTTGGCAGTCTGTGGAGTTTTTCCAGAGCTTTTTGCATGCAATGTTGACTTGGGGATTCCATGTTCTTTTGCTGCTTTGGCAATGCTGACCCCATTGCTCACTGCCTCTAGGACTTTTGCAACGTCATTCGGCGAATAGTTGTGTGTCTTGTAGACTCGTGGTGGTTTTGACTTTGACATCTGAAAAAATAGGAATTCTCCACTTTGAATATGGACAAATCATTCAGTATTCATAGTGACTAATAGATTGATTTCCCACTTTCCACAGAAAATGAAATTATCTCGCAAACGAACGGTTTTTTCAATGAATGTCAGAAGACAGTTTTTCCTAAATTTCCTCAGCTTCAAAAAAGATTTTCCAACATTTTCTCCTCAAATGAGTTATTTATTAATGGGAATTGACTGTTACGGTTAACCACATGGCTGGTCGTCCATGTAATGGTTTAAGGTTAGGAAACTGACACCTGAAGATGGACGATCAAATTTACCACTTAGACTTGAAATTTTTTATTCTTCCATAACTAACATTGCAGAATAAAGTATACTGATAAAGAAAATAGAATACATACCTTCAATAATCCTCATTAAATTTGGTTTCTTTCACATTTTTCACGACAGTGCAACTCACTGGCTCTACTATTTCAGCGCCACTGGGGTACATGGGTGAACCTCGTGACTATATCTTTTTTTTTCTAGTTTAAAATGCTCCGCTATCGGAATGAAACAATTACCTCATTATTCCATACGGGTGTCATTATCAAATTAAAAAATGAAAAATAAAGTTATCTCATTATTTTTTTTAGTAATATTCAATCAAAGGTGAAATCGCCCATCTATTGAGGGGCGTCCATCTACTGGTAGTGTTACCCTACATAGCCCTTCTTTCAGTGTCTCGAAAGCACTCTGAGCTTCTGGAGACCATTTAAATTCCATATCATTTTCAAGTAATTTAGTCAAGGATTTCGCACTTTTGAAGAACTTTTTAATAAAACGTCTGTAATATCATGTTAAACCTAGGAAAGAACATATATTTTTTTGTCTTTTAGGCACTGGAAATTTAGCTACAGCTTCTAATTTCGGTGGATCAGGTTTTAACCTTTCCTTACTAATTACATGGCCTAAATAACCTACTTCCGGGCGTGAAAATTCATATTTATCCGGTTGTAGTTGTAAATTCGCTTTACGCAATCGTTACATCAACGCTTCAATTTTATTTTCATGATCTTTTAGATCTTTTGCAAAAACAATTGTGTCATGGTACACAAACATTGATGTACCTTGTAAACCAGACAACACAGTATCCATTAATGTTTGGAATGTTGCTGGGGCATTTTTCAACTCGAAAGGCATTCGGTTAAATTACCAATGACCTTTAGGTATTGAAAAAGCTGTTTTATGACTGTCTTTTGGATCCATCTCGATTTGATGGTAACCAGACACCAAGTCGAATACAGAGAAATATAGAGAACCTTCTAATTGTTCAAAAATATCAGTGATATTCGGGAGGGGGTAGGCAGCAGTTATCGTTTTTTCATTTAACTGCCTAAAATCAATGACTACTCGCCATCTCTTATTACCCTTTGAATCGGGTTTCTTGGGAACAACCCATACTGGACTGGTATAGGGAGATTCTGATTCTTTAATAATTCCTGATTGGAATTGTTCATAAATTTGTTTCTCTACCTCTAATTTTGTAGAATGAGATAATCTATACTGTTTAGAAGAAATAGGGATATCCGAAGTGGTCGGTATCCTGTGTTTAAATACTTTGGTAGACCCTAAGGGTTCACCTGGAATATGGAAACGATCTGACTATTTGTTTATTAATTTACTTACATGAGATCTTTCCTTACCTCCCAAATGATCTAATCGTAAGAGTTCATCAATTTTTTGGAATCTATTATTATTTTCTTCTTCTTTCATGTGAGTAACTGTTTTATTTACAATGTTAAACTAACTTTTTTCATTAATTTCTTGATCATAGGATTCGTGTATTTTCTCGCATTTACGTTCAACTAACGTGGGTACCTTGACCTTCACGTCATCGTATGTGGTATTATAAACTTGCATATACGCACGACCCTGAGCGTTACGTACCAGACAATCGCCTGCGTACACACCCTTACAAATTCTTAAACGAGGTATGTAGCCCTCGGAGACATCTTTATTTTTTACTCTAATGAAAAATGCTGTTTCAGAACAAGCTGGTAATTGCATAATATCGCTATCTACTTTTTCTACATTTTCGAAGGGATATTCTCTCTCATTAATTTTGAAATATAAATTAGCGTAATCGATTTTTGCTTCCGCGGTTTTGAAAAAATTTGATCCTAATAAATCTGTATAGGGGATTGGCATATTATCGGGTACCACATGGAAGGGAGCTACTTTACCCAACACATCCATGTTTATGCTACTGTTATGTCAAAGATGATCAATATCCCAAGGCAATTTAGGAATATAACATGAAACTAATCACTGACATAAACTTGAGTTTTAAACCGAAATGAAATTTGAAGAGATTCAATTTTAAGTAAAAACCGTAACTCGAGAAAATCACTCTTTATAGAGCAAGTTAACAAAACTGAATTTCAATTTTCAATATAAACTTCAAAAGAACTTGTTGGAGAAGAAACAAAGGTTGAAAAATAAACAGAAGAAGAATTTTGATTAAACTAATTCTTGCGAGTCTATATTTTGAAAAATCAAAAATAAAAGGAGAGAAAACAAAATTAATTTGTAATTTACAAATTCGTAGACTGTTAATTCCAAATTGGTTAAACTTAATTACACACACTTGCCGCGAATGATTCTACACAAGTGAAAGTTTGAAACGTAATTTAAATTGATTGAATATCAATCAAAACTGACTCGACTACTAATTTTTACAAATTGAATAAAATCAAGTAAGTTTGAAACTTATTTAACTCGAGTCAGAAGACTCTACTAAAAGAGTTATAAGTAACTCTTGAAATCGCCCAGAGGGTCGATGAGAAAATTCCACTTTGGGAATTGTGAGGGAACTGAGGAACTACCCGAAGGGCAAGTGGTTTTGTTAACTGCACTGAGGGTGTGACCTCACACACTTCTGGAGGGAAAACTCGGAGCCAATGGTATGCAATCTTGGGCCAGAGTTTCCCGCCCCAAACTCATCAGTCCCAATGTTTCAGGGTTACTCCATCCCTTCCACATTGAGACTGGAAAATTCGTTGGGGTGTGGGCGGACTTTTCCACCCCCAATTAACCAATTAAATTTGTTTCAGGAGTCCCATGTTCTCCCTCCACAATGTTCTATTGAAATAATTTAATAATTAACTTAATGTTTAAGAACTCAATTATTTATTATGAACTATTAATATTTCTTTGTTCTAAAACGCTTAAATTTCAAACGTTTAAAACAACTAACGCATCTTAAATAATTATTACTATCATTCCTTTGACAATCCAAAATTCTCCGAATTGAGAATTTTGGAAAATCAAATATTCCAAATGAAAAAGAAAGATCAATTCCGTTGTTTAATAGAGGATAATTGAATGGATTGAGAATATAAAGTTATCATAATTCAATTGACCTTTCAAATGACTGAAAAATTCTCCGATAGTTATCTAAAAAGACAATTCTTAATTCAAACAATTACGATAGTTCGATTATCAAATATACAACGTATTTATGAAAAAGCAAGTAGATAACATTGAAATATTATTGTGAAAAATATTGGCGTGGCAGTGGAAAATTTCCAAGGATTTGCGGGAGTGGACGAGACACTCTAATCCTGGTTAGAGATATGCAGGCAGCTGCATATCATAAACTAAAATGCTAGGGACAAATACAGTAAGAGTGTTTATTGGGCGCAATTAGGAAACTTGAAATTTCTGTATTGATTTTTTGGCTTACGATTGTAATAAAATTTACTATTCAGTTTTGGTAGGAGTGTAATTCGCTTGTAATGCTTTCATTAAATCATTTAATTGTGTGAATTTTACACCGTTTAATGAGTCTTTCACCGATTGACTCAGACATTTACGTTGAATTAATTTTGTAATATTTTCTTCTGCCGCGTCAGGAAGCGTTTCTTTTACTTCATCACAATTAACAATAAAATCATATAATTCGCTCTGTTTACCCTCAAAAATGGGAATACAAGCGACCGCATCCTTCAATGAAATTAATTGATTCGTACTTAATTGAGCCATATTGACTGGATTGTCTTCAAATCTATTCAATTGTTTCTCAATAAATCTTTCTAATTAGGCGTTATGAAATCCGACTTTACGATTTGTTACTGATTTATTTCGCGTATTATTGGTGTTATCATTTATCGTATTATTCGCGTCATCAGAAAACGAAT